CAGCACATACACACAGTACACACATATGCATCACATTACAACATACACACATACAACACATACACACATACACACATACACACATACACACACACTACACACAACACACAGACACACAACACACAACACACAACACACAACACACACACCACACAAACACACAACACACACTATCACACACTACACACATACACACATACACACAACACACAACACACATACACACATTTTTTTTAAACCCCCCCCCCCCACACATACACAACATACACACATACACACATTACACACATACAACACATACACACATACACACAATACACACTTACACACATACACACATACACACATACACACATACACACATACACACATACACACATACACACATACACACATACACACATACACACATACACACATACACACATACACACATACACACATACACACGTACACACATACACACATACACACATACACACATACACACATACACACATACACACATACACACATACACACATACACACATACACCGAACATACACACCATACACACATACCACACATGACACACATACACACATACACACATACACACATACACACCATAGCACACATACACACATACACACATACACACATACACACATACACAATAACACACATACACACATTACACACATAACGACACATACACACCATGACACACATACACACATCTACACACATACACACATACACACATACACACATACACACATACCACATACACACATACACAACATCACACACATACACAATTACACACATACACACATACAACACATTAGCACACATACATCATATACATCACATTACACACATACACACATACACACATACACACATACACACATACACACATACACACATACACACATACACACATACACACATACACACAAACACACATACACACATACACACATACACACATACACACATACACACATACACACATACACACATACACACATACACACATAACCCACACATTACACACATTACACACATACACACATACACACATACAGCACATACACACATACGACACATACACACATAACAAATACACACATACACACTATACAACACCATATCACACATACACACATACACACATACACACATACACACATACACCACATACACACATACACACATACACACATACACACATACACACATACACACATACACACATACACACATACACACATGACACACATCACACATTACACACATACACCATACACACATACAGCACATACACACATACACACTACAACACAATACACACATTACACACATACACACATACACACATACACACATACACACATACACACAGTACACATACAACACAATACACACATTACACTACATACACACATACACACATACACACATACCACATACACACATACACACATACAACACATACACACATACACACAACACACATTACACACATACACAATACCACATACACACATACACACATAACACACCTACACACTATACACACATACAACAACACACATACACACATACACACTACGACACATTACACACTACACACATACACATACATACATACATACATACAACATACACACATACATTACATACACTACATACACTAATACATACATACAACATAACATACATACAACATACATAATCATACATACACTACATACAACATACAACATACAACATACACTACATACATATACATACATAACATACAATTACATAACTATACATAGGGAACCCGGGGCAAAGCGGAACACCGGGGAAGTCTGAATGTCTCAGCCAGATCTATGTTGATGCCGCCCATCTATCTGTGACTGCTTTTTCAGTCGAAGCTTTCGTTGATGATGCTCGTTTTTGATGGATGCCATTTGCATGAATCCAGCATATGTACATTTTTTTGGAGCGAAAAGTCTGTTTTTTATCGTTGTTTAAACGATATTCTAAAACCATCGAACATTGCCTTAAATCACGTGTGATCTTGTATGGAATTCTTATGTACGTGCTATTTTGTTGAATCTAAGGCCTATGTGTGCCATCATGCATGATGAACTTCTTTGCGTAGTACTGCCTGCACAGCGTAACGCCACCAGTGTCTAGAAACTATCTGTGTTCGGCGGCAAAGTGGATGCGGCGCAAAGTGGAAGCAGGGTTCCAATTTGCCCCGCCATATTGATAGGCTAAATGTATATCATTATTATCAGATTATTTCTTATGATCGTTAATTATACTCACCCCCCCCCCCCCCCCCCCCCTCAGTAGCAGGTAGGCCCTATGTCTGTCTTTGCATCATTTTAACACCTTAAACTCGTAAAACCTACATGGCTAACTGTGTCTTCCTAGACTCTACATTATTGTATAAGCGTCCTATAGTGCATGTGTTCTTTCATAGTTTTAGGCAAAATGTTAACGCAACTATGAATTTGATGTTCAGAGAGTAGACCACTGAAGAAGGACGCAAACCATTTTTTGACCCACAAATACATGGAGTAAAAGACAATTCCAGCTTGCCCCATAACAGGTTTCACTGTGCCCCGCCGGGAGTCTGGGGCCAAAATGAATATTTATAAATTTATAATTTTGTATATTTCAATAAAGGTCGTTTTTTAAATTAACTTTGCTTTGCTACCGCCTGTTAGTTATTGCCTAATGCACGCTAAAAGATTAGAGCAAACATTTCACTTTGTCTCGCTCCTTTCACAGCGTTTTAGCCAACCAAATTTCTTTGGTCCACCTTTTGCCCGGGTTCCCCACATACATACATACACACAGACGCACCATACGCACGCACGCACGCACGCACGCGCCACGCATTGCGCGCCACCGCACGCACCGAACGCACACACGCCACACACACACACACACACACACACACACACACACACACACACACACACACACACACACACACACACACACACAACCCTCCCCCCACACACACATACACACACACACACACACACACACACACACACACACACACACACACACACACACACACACACACACATACCCCCCCCCCACACACACACACACATGCACACACGCGTGCGCGTGGGTTATGTATCGGTCAAATATGGTCATGCACCCGCATCTCTCTATTTCAAATAAATTCAATTGGCAGGCGCTAATCACGTGAATCAATTCACAATACGTATACATGGGGTGTATACGAACTATGTACCACTATATATTCTGCGTAGGATAAACTATCGGCGTATATATTTCGAATAGTGTGTGACGCGCCGGAAATGAAACACCGTGTATGGAATGAATGAGGAACATGACGCATTAGAGAATATGTCCAATAGACGTTTGCTGTCCATGTGCTCGAAACCGATATACGCGAACAAATTTGTTCGCGGGTATAACGAGGGTATAACGCTAGTCTCTGTCTACATGGGTCTTTAAAGACCCATGTAGACAGAGACTGGCGTTATACCCTCGTTTCTCCTAACGATGTACGTGAAGAGATATTCGCATAAGTCAACATGACGCTGGGTAGAAATCTACCGAGTTTCAATTATGAATGTATAGAAAGTGTAAGCGAATACGGCATTAAATGAATTTGCCAACATCTATTTATTTTAAATCGATGTCACGTTTCTTGCAAGCGTATTTCGGTTAAGCTAACTAGTTATTCGCGCTGTCCGTCAATATGTTGAAATTCATACTTACTTTAATCAATTCCTGCCGACATAATGAAGTGCAAACGCTCAGATTCAATATAAATCACGTAATCATAGCGCTTACCGCCTCTCACTTTACTGCATATATACCCACAATTTATTTTGCTAGTTGAAATAATTAACTTTTCCATCTCGTAACCCGTTGAGAATCAGTAACACGCTTAGACAATAATTACTCCCATTTTCAAGCGCCGAATCATTTAATTAATCTATCGCAATTAATCTAAACTTAACATCTGCGATTTTCTTCGGTAATTATTCAATAAGACAGCTGGATATCGTCAGCGAAACATTCCTTGGTATAAACTTGAGCTCTCGCCGCGCGCGAAAAAAAATTGCGAGCAAAAAGCAGACTACGGGGCGACGGGCAGATGAATTTCTACAACCAACATGGTGCCATACTGTAGGCACCTGTTACCGGGGTATTTTAGTATGTGTTTCTGTATAAACCGGCGGAATTTGATCATAAAGCGAAATCCGATGCGACTCGGTGGCGCTTGAGCTGCCAAACAAACCTGATGGGCAAAAAGCTGCATGGAGATGTTCAGCTGTGTGTTCATTGAGGTAGTTTTCCCCGCCGAACAGTTCCTATCGCCCACAGTTACTAGTATAGAGCAAGTCCCTGCCTGTGCCAAGACGCTAGGCTAGCTCATACAAGGCGGAGCGCGCATCGAATTAACTGATAATTAATCGTGTGAAGAAAGAGCTTAATTTCGATCTTTGCCTTTCTGGAGCGAATTAGCTGTTAATCGTCATATAGCTCAATTATTGCGCTCTGTTCTAAATACAGCGATCGCAAACATGTTAGAAGTTGTGTCGCAATAAAAAGATCGTCTTCCCTTCTTCACATATCACAGAGCGCGACGAGACCTATATAGGCCGCCATCTTTGCGGAATACGTTACTGAATTCGAAGCACGTAAGTTTGTTATACTAATGAATAAATGGTGCCAGTGGAATATCCGAGTAGAATTACTGCCCGATGCAATGCTGATCGAGCGAGGATTTCTTAGCCAACATAGCAACTATAACTTGACAGAAATCGGTGCTCGAAATCGGCAATGTACATTCTACCCAATACTCAAGCAGCTAATAAACAATAAAGGAGAACATCAGAGATAAAGGAGCGATGGATAAATTCATGTCAAAAAGCAATTATAGAAGAATGATGCTGTACCAAAACACTTACTTGTTGTATAACACAAGATCAGGAATCCATATCAACTGCGAGGGAATGTGTAGCCTATCTACTCCGCCGTAGTCCGTTGGGTCCCATTTGAGCTTATTATCCACCCATTTCTAAAGGAAACCCGTGGTTATTTCATATTGCTCACAATACAACCACACCACCTCATAATTTATGCATCAAGCGTAGAGCCGCTAACGATTTGGGTATTCGGCACTGAATAGCTGAGCCACGCAGACATGACAAAGACACTGTACAGTTACGACACGGAGACATGATGGCGATATTCCGTAATATTTCAATAAGCTTCAAGAAAAATGGCGCTTTTGTAATTACGACTGTTCTCGATTATTTCTCTTTTAGAATTTGTGCTTAACTGAGATATAACTTTAATTTTTCATCACGGTACATTACAGAATATATATATATATATATATATATATATAAATATATATATATTTATTTATTTATTTATTTATATATATATATATATAATCTTACCTGTTTTAGCCATACAACCGTTGTCATAATCTGATTCTTTTCGTCCTGAAATTAATTAAAGGAAAAACTTTGTTAATTGTTATTATTAATTATTATATAAAAACAAATATATGTTTGGGGTAATCGAGTTTAATTTTGTGTGTACAAACAATAACATAATAGGAAAGCACATAGTAACATCGTTTGCAATGTTGTACGTGTATGCAATAACATTTATATAATATCACTTTCATATTCGATTATCAATATCAATATTATATATAAATATATATATATATATATATATTATATATATGTGTGTGTGCGTTCGTGCGTGTGAGTTTATATATATATATATATATATATATATATATATATGTATATATATATCTATTGTATGCAATTGATCTTATTCATAAGTGTCGATTTGTTCAGCATTCTCATTTATCGGTAACCGTTGATAATGCTGCTAGCGTAGCTTCGGGACGATTCTACAGCTGCTTGAGTTAAACCGTAAGCGCTTTGCGACAATATGGCAACGGTAAACCGTAACTACTCTATTCGTGCTTCAACTCTCTTAGGCAGTGTGCTCCTGAAATTCAAATGGAGAACAGCACATGCGCACTTCCACAATTTCCACATCATCCTAGGGCATGTTAAATTAAGGGATTGCATTCGGGATCTGAGCCGTTGTTGACAGATTCTTTACACGAGATTTGCATTGATGAAACCTATTTTGATCGTGTGCAGGAATAGGCAATATGGCGGACAAGAATTTTTGTTTGTGTCATCGTGTATCATCATTGCAATATCGGAAAAGGAGTTATTTTAATATTTAAAAAAATAGAAAATTGTTAACAACAGGGTTGTCTATTTTATCACGTCATGATTGAAACAAACCCCACACGATCGAAATGAGTGTTTGCTGTATCTTTTCAACGCTTGGACCTTCCGTAACAAATTAATTATACTTTTTATCAGTGATATTATAGACTGGTTAGTTCCGTGCTAATTTGATGCGCCAACGACTTTTGTACAAACCTTGCAGAATATGGAACAATAGGCTGTTGGTTTCCAAAAGGCATGGCGTAGCCTTTATGCGACGTTTAGCTTTTGAATAGGGGGGGGGGGCTATATTCCATAACTGGAACGTTTTGCTAGCACTGCGATGTCTGAAATATCATGTAACAAATTCTTGTTGAAATTAAAACATTTTACTTGCAGTGACAATTTTTATCTAGATAACCTAACGCAAAAACGCAGAAGGTATATATAATTAGATTCGTGGCCATTTTTGGCGTGTTATAAATCGCATTTGTTTCACGTTCGTTCTTATGAGTGAGTAGCAATGTTCTCATGCCCAGTTAAAATCTCATGGTAATTGGGTTTATGGATTTGCTGGATCAATTTCATTATACACTTGTACATCGGTCGTTGTTCAGCACAACGCCGTTGAATCCGTACAGCAATAGAACACGATTCACCTCCAATAAATCTATAGCAAGCGGTTTTCAATACTTTACAGTTGCTTTTACATTATTTTTCCCGCCCATGAACCAATATTTTAACGAACGTGTATCGTATCATTTTACCTCGAAATCGTTTCGCAGAACTTGAATAACTTACCGAAAATCCAGTTTTCTTAGTGAGATCGAAATTTACTGTCCAATTTTCTCGACTATTTGTACTTGCGACATGTTTTTATTTGTTCTCGCAATTTCTAACCGAATTTCTAGAAGACGCCTTTGTTCACTTTAGTGCTTGCAGAAGCTTTCATGTAGTTGGTGTGAAGCATAGAATGTTTGAGGAGGTGTAGACGTAGATGATGTAGCCGCTGTGCTGAGTATGCAGCCTTTACAGCACTCGCACTCTACAGTTCACCTCGGTGACAGGTTACTGACCGCAAGCAATGCGTTTAAACAGTAGCCTGTTATTTTGTGATTTGACCGTTAAAAGGCAGATTGTAAAGCAGCAAACATCCAACGTACGTCCTTTAGGCATATCTAATATTAGAAATGCCGCTTAAAACGCATGCATTATCGAAGACGTTTTAGCGCATTTAGATTGTAAACTGATAACACCGCTAACTTATTCTGCTGTTAGCGGTTTTATAGAGTGAATGCCCCCGCCGCTTCCATTCGTACTGGCTGGTGAATTCTCAACAGGAAGATGACGACCACGGTTCACGTGGCGCTCTTGTTTATTCGATTTATCCGCAGGGAGGCGGATGCGTTTGCATCGTAAGTATACTCGTGGTTGGGTCGAGCTGACCGCTGAGTGTGCATGCCCTCACGGGTCATGGTCGCTACTACAAAGACAAATCACCCGGCTTGGTTGTTTGGACACACTCGATTATTCCATGTAGGCGGTGCAATCAAAGACACGCGAGACTACATTGAACAGTTCGCCTCATCCACATGTCTATATATATTTGCCTCGGGAAATAAGACGGTGTGATTGGAATGGGGAATAGCTACAGCGTGACAAAACGCCTTCGCCAGACCTTCCATGCGATATATAACGAATAATTACGGGGCGCCATGCAGGACAGGGCTCAATTTTGTCTAACAAAACTCAATTCTGTCTCACAAAACTCACTTTTGTGCACACAACTCAATTCTGTCTCACAAAAGTCAATTTTGTGAACACAAAACTCAATTCTGTCAATCCTGTCCCACAAAACTCAATTTTGTGAACACAAAACTCAATTTTGTGAACACAAAACTCAATTTTGTGAACACAAAACTCAATTTTGTGAACACA